GAACTTTTTGACCTTAGCATACAAAAAGTGGTTCTATATATTTAAAAAAATATTTATGTGTTACATTGTGTTAATATAATTGATTATGTAAAAATAAATATTGTTCATTGTAAGAAGTAAAGACATAGTATCCTGTATTAATGTTTATTTTTAAAGTGTATAAGTCAATATTCAATAAATTAATATTTTTCATAGTGATATGTAATATTTTTGTCAAACATGTTTGACAAACTTCCCAGGTTTTAATTTTTAAGAGGCTTCTTTTGACCTATAATTCACTTTGAGCCATTCCCATGAGTTCCTGGAATGCCAACCAGATTTGCACTTTTTTTTTTTAAGAAGAAGAAATTTTGAACTGATTAGATATATTTGATATGCTTAGCATGTATGGGGAGTTTTTCAAAGAAAGAAATAATAAATATGTTTTATTTATACACATATTTTATTATTAAAATTCATGTTTAGAGATTATATAGATATATCCAAGAGTCAATAAAGTTTTGATATAATTTCATTTGTAATGTTACGATATCTTGAAATGTTGTTACAAAGAGAATATTTCTTTGCCCATCTCATAGTAATCAGGTCTATAACCATGTCATTTCAAGTTTCTTTTTCTGTTACTTAGGCGCACTCATTGTTTGATCATGATGCATTTACAAATATGTTATATCTTCAGAAAGATCCATGGAATGGATATGCTATACTTTAAATTCTGATTTTTGAGACTAAATTTCCAGGTCATGTTTTTGAATGAGATAAATATTACTAGAACTTCATGGAATAACTGGATTTACAGAAATATAGGCAAATAATTAACACAATCAAAACTGATTATGGGACAGAATGAATGAAGATCACTATGGTTTTGTCACTTTTAATGAAAGTAGTGCTAATTTTTATAACATGATTCCTGGAAATAAGAAAATTTGCATTTTTCTTAATGTAGCTTGGTGAATTACACTTTACACTTTAATAAGCAATTTTGAGGCATTTATATTTTTCTCCTAGTTTGATCTCTCTGGAATTGAGAAAGGGCCTGGTAATTTGCTTATTCATAAGGTTCACTGCACTCTTTCTAGGCAATGAGTTAAGTTTGCTTTCCTGGAAGATCATAAGGGAGAACCTCAGGACATTTGGGATGGCCTCAAAAACTTAAGGAATTCACCCAAAGTTGTAAGTATTGGAGGTAAAGCCAAACTGCAAATAGGTGGCTTCCCTTTGGTGCCCAATGCTGTAACTAAAGCTCCATCTTGCAAATCCTTATAAGATTCCAGGAAAGCACATTTAAGGGAGCCTCCGTAATCAACTGTTTTTCCTGTTATGTTTATGCCAGTAAGCAGGCTGAATGGGAACAGAATTTATTGCAGTAAATGAATGAGACTTAGTTTGGCTTTTCGATAAATAGTATGATACACAGTTGTAGACACTAAAATATAATTAAGTGAAAAGCCTTCCAGGATTTATTTTTCTCTTATGAACGAAGTGAATCATAACTTTTTCTGGCTTATTCATGAATAATATTAATTTTAGATACCCAATCTCACTCCCCCAGGTTGCAAGCCTTAGACATTATCAGGAAATACCAACTCTAGACACCATAGCCACCCTCTTTATTGACAAAAACTCATCTCCCTTCCGATTGAGAGGAAGGTTCTCTTTGCTCTGAAGGAAAATGGCATCCCTCTTCAGAAGGAAGTGGTTGCAGAAAAGATCCAGTGCCCTTTCACTTAAAAGAATCCAGAGCCAAAGTTCTCAAGCAGTGCATAGATAAAATCAGAATAAGAACCATAAGGCCAGGTGCAGAATTTCACCACAGCAGAATGCTCAGGTAACTAGCAGGAGGCATACGAAGAAGAAATGGATACAAAAAAAGCTCAGAGGCAGATAGTGAACTGCAATGGTGACTCAGACAGTGAAGGAGAGGACCCAGGGGATTCGCTAGACACCCTACACCCATCATTATTTCTCCACAGGAGCCTCAGATACATCTGGGACATAGGCATTCCCTATCGAACACCAAATTGTGTATAAAAACAGACTCAGTCATAGAGGTAATGAGACAAATGCAACAAAAAACCTTTTTAAAGCCAATAAAATGCCACCTCAGTGATTTAAAGTTAGCACAGAGCCTTCTCTTCTTGCCTGAATGTGCCATCCTTCTGCTGAAACTGGGCTTGTTCTGTACATTGTCTACAAAGTAACATATTCCCCTAAAGGCAGCATTGTTTTCCCTGGTCACACAGCATCATGTATTCCACCTCCAGATAATTTTAACATGTTCAGGGGAACCCAGAGGAGATCAGTTTTCTCCTTAGACCCACAAGTATGTACAAACAAATAATTAAAACAGTTTTGTCAGATGACACTCCAGGGAAATCAATTAACATTCACCCAAATGGCATAAGATCTCCTGGATAAATCCCAGACGATGAATATTTCTTCAGATGGATTCTATGACCCTGGAGGGGGGCATCTGTACTTCAGACTCTCTCCAAGACTTGAGAAATCATAGCCAACAAAAATGAAACCTCACCTGCTCATATTAAGTAATCTCAGGGCTCACTAGGGAAAGTTGTCTTAGGTAATCAAGTTGCCTTAGGCTACAAAACTGAAAAACAACACAGAATCTCCATGAACATAAACCACTCTGGTTGTTCTTATCTTGGTACCTCAGCTCAGATGGAAACAGCATCTCCAGAATCACATACTGGAGATCACATACCTGGCATCACATACCTGGCATAAACAAACAGGATCACCATACCTCTCTGCTTGACCAAACTCCAGATTGGTTCATGAGTCTATATTCATGGATACCACAGAGACTTAAGTCCAAAAAATATTTTTTTTTATTTTAATCATTCTCTTTAGAATGTTTGTCTGTATTTTTATAAATGATCTCTATAACTTGTTTTTTCCCAGGTCTGGAAAGTAGCATCTGCTCTAGTATGGTTTCTAAAAATGCATTGGCTTTTAACTCATAAGATTTTGTTTCCAATGGGTATAGGTCTTCCCTTCCTTCACAGCTTCGAAGGAGATCAATAGCTCTATAGATATGGAGAGAGAATTGACAGTTGGGAATTGAATCATTGAATAATAATTTGATACTGCTATGACTTCCCAAGAAACAGAATTAAATAAAATTTACTAACCAACTCATAATAACTCATGAATTAACAGTCTTTTACCAACATACATCACGTGCTACCAGTTCCAGTCCTGCTGTGTAAGAAAAAAAAAGCAAAACTTACAACAGATTTGGTTGATACTGTTGGTACAATGAAGACATTTACCTGGCACCAAAGAGTTCTCGGATGATGACAGTGAAGGTCGACACTGGAAAAAGAAATCACTGCCTACAGGTCCACAACCTCATCCCATGACCTCTTTACGCTTTTTGTCATTCTGGCTCCTTCTAAAAAGTTTACCTGCATTGAGGGATGGCAGTGGGCTTTGAGATGAGAGTATTTCATCTCCCTGAGTGTCAGCATCTTAATAAAAGCACTCCCCTTCATCAGCATCTGACAGTGGAGGATTGACTTTGAAGTGTCAGGGACCCTGGCCTGAATTTGACTAATTTCATGGTGCTTTCTAATGGGAGCGCCTTCCAGGATCACATCCAACAATTCCAGGTCGGTCCTCACATGAAGGAAGGATCAGAAAAATCTCCGGGCTCATTGAGGAAGCGAGCAACCCCTTCACAGGGCACTTTCTTGACTTAATCATTCCCCAAAGCCTCCCATTTCACCAGTGTTCTCTTTCTGGATAAGGAATAAATCATATAAACTTGGGAGGGGCCTATGTATTCATGCTACAGCGCTGACCTCTTGGGAGTGCAGAGCTTCTCTGTTAAGAGTTCTCAAGCCACCACCTTGACCTCTGTACCCTGAAGGGGTGTCAGACTCTGACTTGCATATTGTGCAGGAACAAGTGTGTGCATATTGCAGCCCCTGCTCTGCCATAAGTGTTTCCATTGTCATAGGAACATTGAATAGGCAGGATGTTGTCTCCCATTGGCAAGGAAGTTCCCACTCTGCTCCCTCCTATGTGATGACCATTAGTACCAGCCTAGGGACACGGATGCTTGTGGAGTTGTGGTCTCAGGTGAGGAGACTTCTTCACATCTCTACCTGACTGAGGACTGAAACTTTGTTCTGATGTTGGGGACGGTGCCAGAACCTAGAACACCAGTGAAAACTCAACTTTAGAAGCACACTTCCATTGTTCACATATAAGGGATGTCATAATCCTTTCTGGAGAGTCACTACTGTCCAATTCACAAAACCTAACCCCGACCAAGATTTCCAGATGACGCCTCCATGGTCATCCCTCATTTAGAGGACAAAGAGGCTCCAAATGTAACTCTTGCACAAATCACAGTAAATAACAAGGGTCCTCCCCAGGGAGTCTTCTTTGTCCTTCTTTGCAGTGCATCTGGTCTCTTGAAACATTTCCCTGGATTTCTGATGTGCCCATGGAAGCATCAGTCCTGGTCTCAGTTCTGTGACTGTGAGTGAGGAAGTCGGGATTCCATCACCCTGTCATCGTCTGAGCTAAGTGCAGCCATTCAAGTTCATCCTAGGGTGTGTGACTCGCTCAGGAAGTGGATCATCACAATGAGTCTCTTGCACAGTAATACATGTCTCTGCCCTAATACATCAGACCATTGCTTTGGAGATAGGCTATGATAACAGGTGTGTCCTGAAGATGAGTATCATTCTGAGTAGCCCTGGGTAAGGTGGGTTACCAAGTGTTTCTCTTGATCCATCCCATATATTTCAGGGCCATTCCAGGAGCCTATCACAGAACATAACTTGTGGAGGTGCATCCAGGAGCCTTGCAGAGACTTTCCCTGATGACCCAGGATCCCTTTCATCAGCCTCCAAATGGGCCACATGCACCTGGGAGTGGGCACCTGTGCAGAGGAGGAAGGGGAGTGTGGAAAGACCTCTTGACTGTCCCATGTCACTTGCTCAACCCAGGAATGAAGGAGTCCCTTATGGGTAGCCACTGCCACCAGGAGGAGGGCTCTCCAGCACTAGTCCCTGGGGAGGAGCTGTGCCTTCAGGACTGCTGCGTGGGGTTGTGGGGCTGCAGGTGATGCTCTTATGGCACAGACAGACCCATAATTCACCGTGCCTACATCTTCTCTTGTGCATAGTCATGAGGAATATGACTTCATACCTGATTATGTGACTCCATCTGGAAGAGGGTAGGGAACACAGGGAACATGATCAATGGGATGGCCAAAGTTCAAGTCTGAGTCAGTGTTATCTGATGTGTCCCCTGCCAGACCCCTGAGCGCTGTGCACACAAAGCTGCTTCCACAGAAGAATGAGCCCCACAGGAGAAGCTCCGCATTGAGAACACATCTTTTCCTAAAACAGAGACACCTGGACCTGTTCTGAGATTTAATACCTGCAGGGTTTTTGGTCATGGATCAGGGCCTCCAGATCCTTGACATTCAGATATAAAAAAGTTGTGAAAATATCCTCACTGACTATGGTTCCCTTATCTTCTTTAGTTTGGTAAATGCTCTAATAGGATTACTCTTTAGAGTCACACCATGTCCAATACATATTTTAATTTTTATCCATTTGACCTGCAGAGGCCATAGTGATCAGGTGCTGGTTTGTCCTGGAGATATTCAGAGCCAGGATACCCTTGTACAAACAATGCAGCCAATACTGACATGATTTTGGCATGGCAGATCACTCTGACTCTGACCAGCGTACAGGTCCTCATTCTCAGAATGCATTTCCTGAAGCCTCGACAGTAGTAACACCATGGATACTGGGCGAGGGTCTCCCCAGAGGCAGAAGCAAGTGCTGATCCAGGAATAGTGGAGCCAGAATTTTGTCCTGGAATGTCAGAGTCTGAAATGTAGTGTCAGTGCAGTTTTACTCTGTTCCTTCTGGTGTCTTGAGCAGTCCCAGTAGCTGAGCCTTCCTGTTTCCTGCAGGAAGGTCTTTGTCTGGGCTCCTGCTGACTTCCCCTCTCTGTGTCTCTAATACAGTAATACACAGCTGAGTCCTCGGTGCTCACAGAGCTCAGCTGCAGGGAGAAATGGTTCTTGGAAGTGTCCCTGGAGATGGAGGTGTGGCTCTTGAGGGACGGGCTGTAGTAAGAGCTTCCACCACTATTTATGTTCTTGATCCACTCCAGCTCCTTCCCTGGGGGCTGGCTGATCAAGCTCCTTGCATAACCACTGGATGTGATGGAGAATCCAGAAACAATGAAGATGAGGGAGAGGGTCTGTGAGGGCTGCATCATTCCTGGGCCTGGCTCCTGCAGCTGCACCTGGGACCACACACCTGGGAACAAAAATCATCAGTCCCTGTCAGCCATGTGCAGTCACCAGCATCCCATAGACCCATGTCTGATGTTTGGGACACACGCTGGGGGGCTGTCAGCAGACACAGGAGGAGTTCCAGCAGTTTCCTCTTCCACACACAAATCTGCCTTCCCCAGAGACTTGGCCCCGTGTGAGGAGAGAGCTGTGAGCCCCCACAGCCCAGGAGAGGATTTAACCAGTATCTGAGACAGAAATTTGCATGTGGCAGATGCTATTCTCATAAGTGGAGAGAGAGTGAGGCAACTGTCTTTCTGTGCCCTGAGCACATTTCTTCTCTTGGACTGGATGCCATAGGTCAGGAATGGGAGCATAGCTTGGTTATGTATCAACATTGAAACATGCCGATGGACTGCTCTTCTTTCTTTGTTTAAGAGTTAAATCTGGACTGGGTGAAGGATCACACATTTTAGTATTATAGATTATTCAAATTGACCTTAAAAGTGATTAACACTATATGCCCAAACATCTTCCCAAGTCCAGGGAAACACATGAAGTAGACACATCCTTTCCATATTGGAAATCATAATTTCATCGGAAAGAGAACTTGATATAAATTTCATGTATAAATATTGCAAAGTAAATAATAGTTTTTCCCTTGTCCTGGCTGGGGCCCCAAAGCCTGCATGTGGCAGATCAGGTGCAGCCTCTGTCTCAGTCGAGCTCCAATCAAAATGCCACACTAGTTAGAGCTGCTGCCAGAGTCCAGCTCAGACCCTACATCTCAAACAGGTGTTCTATATGCTGCGCCCTTCCTTTCATCTCCCTTCTCCCAGGGCAGTGCAGCCCCTTCTCTCAGGTGAGCTGCTCAGGAGGCCTCCCAGGTTCCTAGAGGACATGGGGCCCTGATACCTGGAGGCACCATCTCCCAGAGACACACAGGCCCTGACTCTGTGCCAGGAGTTGTCCTGAGATGTGTCATCACAGAGGGTCATTTTGAAAACCACCATCCCCATCTTCAGCTGGGAGCCTGGGGAAAGATCTGGAGTCTGGTCCTCGGAAGGAAGCTGGAGTCTCATGAAGGTCAAGGTAACAGATGGAAGGAAATCAAAGTGCAGAGAAGGCACATCATTCATTCTATCACTAAACTAAATTGGAACACATCATGGGAATTGAAAGCATGGTTAATGCCTAAAATCAGGTATTACACATGCTCCATACACAGAAATTTCCCAGTGCAGTGCTCATGATTTAACAGCGCACAACAAGGCCTAAGACACATCTGACAGAATGAGGACACCTATGGATCAAACGTGATATTTTCTCAGGTGACAAATGTCTCAGAAGATGCCCCTTGTCAACAAGAGATCTGAGACTGAGGGATTGGGGCAGTCACCTGGGACTGAGGTGATGTATGTGACAGGGAAGGTGTCCACTCTCCTGCAGGTACTGCAGGGACCCTGTGAGGAGAACTTAGCACAGGTCAGCTGTGCCCAGCATGCAGGAAAGTGAGGTGGATCCGAAAGAGTGAAACCTTGAGAACAGCTGCTCCAGTGAGAGGCACGTTATTGCTCCAGGTGACGCGTGTGCTCTCTAACCCAATCCTGCCCCCACCGCCACCAATGTGGAGGTGAACTCAGCCCCATCCATGTTCCTGGCCCGACCAGTGATTTGTGTCCTCACTTGTCCCAGGGGGACCTCAGCCTGAACTTATCATTTTCTTCTTCACATGTCCCTGTGAAGCTACACATTTCAGGAGAGCACCTGGGTGTCTCCATGTCCCAGTTCTCAAGGAGCTTTACAGACCATGACCCCAGAGAAGTGGGACATGTTGAATCTCTAGTTGCTTTTCTCACTCCCATGTAAAGTGAGATCAGAGGGAAGTGTTGGGTTCCTTCCTGGGATATGCAGAAATGTTTAAATTCAGGGGAAAAAGTATTTCAGGAGAAAGGAGTTTCCATTCTGTGCCACTCAGTGCTGTGTGTGATGAGTGTCATTGTCAGACATGGGTCCCCACCACCATCACTGTGACACCATGACACAGAGTGTGCTGGGACCTAATGATGTGCCACCCACATTGTGTCTCCCTAGAAGGGACACCTGGGCACATGTAATGCCCTGTACCATCTGAGCCCTTGACTTTGCCACTGTCCTTGTCCCTACACCTCCACCTCACATGCAGCTCTCAGCCCAGGAGCCCCATGGCCCAGAATCCTGGACGAGGTTCCTCCTCTTCCCAGACTCCATTTCCCTGCAAACACCTATGGGAAAATCTCACGCCTTCTGAGGTTCTTGCCCACAAGCGAGTTCCTCAGAGTGACCTTCCATGTCACACCTGCTTGGACCCCTGATGCCATTCCTGCCTTGCAGGGTCAGGAGGCATCACTGGTCCTGGGACACCTGTGCACAACTCTAATTAGAGCTGGTGTGACATCTGTGGTAACACATTCAGTAACTAACATTCACCATGAGAGTGCTTTCTTAAATGGACACAGTGACTTTAAGTCCATCCACACCCTTGGACAATCATTGTCACCATCCAGATGCAGAAATTCTCTCTTTCTCACACTGACTCAATGCCATTAAATACTGACTCCCACTTCCTGCCCCAACCCCAGACACCTCATTCTGCATCTGTTTCCATGGCCTTGACCATTGCAGGTTCTCACAAACGTGGACACACACAGCCACTGTGGTCCTGAGAGTGACCCATTTCTCTGGGCACTGTGTCTCCAAGGCTCATCTGTGTTCTTGCAACTGTCATCTTCTTCTTCCTTTTAAAGGTGGTGACAGTGTGTGGTGAGGATGGAGCACATCTTGCTATTTAGGGACCTATTCCTTCTTTCGGGTTTCACAAATATTCAGGTTATATTAACTGGTATTTTTGCTGTTCCCCTGATCAAGAATGAGAGGGAAAAGCATAGGGAAGTCAGAGAACAAACTCAGGTGAAGGGTGTCAACATGTGATGACATAGAATGCAGAGGAAACACCTGTGTCCAAAGGCTGTTCTGGGTTAGGACAAATGGTAATAATTTCTGTAGTGTTGTCGTCTTCTGCCGTGGCCTCCTGTCCATCCTAGAAGCAGCAGGATAAGGAAAGAGGGGAGGTATAGACACAACCCATGTCACAAAGGCAGGGTTGATGGGGTTCTTCATCTGACTGGAACCGGGTCCACCTCCAGGTCACACCTGACTCAGTCTGGAGTCCCTAGGACAGGGGCGCACATCCTTCCCTGTGGCTCTGAGGAAACTGTGACTCAAAGGACGTACAGGGGAAATCATGGAGGAGGGGGTGTGAGGTCTACACAGGAGTCTCAAGTTTAGTTCAAGTGCAAGGACACAGTCCTGAGATGCAGGAGAGGCCCGTGTTCCCAAGGGTGCTGGAGGCAGGGCCAAAGTTCATGTGGATGCTCCAGTTTCAGGGCCCTCATGCAGAGGGTCCCAGTGGTCCGATGCAGGTCTCCAATTATCAGACTGGGCCCCACACATTAGGAAGGACATGTGGCCTCACCCAGTTCAACAATATAAAATATCTTCGCAGAACCATGACTGGTGTGGCCAGTTCGATTCCCATTCAGGGCAGCACATGCCTAGGTTGTGGCTATTTCCCGAGTAGGGAGCATACAAGAGGCAATCTCTCCTTGCCTAATGTCCAACCATGTGGAGGAGAGGAAAGTGACTCACTGTTCCCCAGCAGTCAGGGGTCCTGGCAGCACTGATCATTCACATGTGTGACGGTCTGTGCTGTGTGGGGAAGAGGGTGTGACTCAGCACATAGATTCAGAACCTCAGACTCATCTCTGCACTGTAGCAGAGGAATCATCCTCAGTTGGGGCTTAGTGTGAATTTTTAACTGTTTTGTTTGTCAACACAAAAGTACATAGACTACAGAGTTAGGGGGACAATAAGAACCCAGATGAGAAAGCAACCTTATCTGCCTACCCAATTCTTTCCTCCTTTTTTTGGATGAGGGAGGGTAAGAAATTCAAGACACATAAAAGGAAGCAGGAATGGCCCCTAGGGACAAAAGGAGGTGAATAAATTAAGGACCTTAATTGGAAGCCCTTCCTCCACCCCCCTGGGAACCAGCTTCTGAGATGAACCCCTCCCTTTAAATGCACTGACACCCCTGGTGTCCTGATCTCTCTATGGTGACACTGATGCCCCTTGTGCTCATTAGTGAACCCAATGGCTCTGATGTCCTCTTCTCTAATGAGCACTCCCCGGTGGTATTGATGTCCCTGTTGCCCTCAAGGCTCCATGGTGACAGTGCTGTCCCCTGTGCACGTGAACGACCCTGAGTGTCACTAATGGCCCCGTGTACTGAGCAGCCCCTGCATCTCCACCATCTTGTCTCCCTCCATATCTAAAAGTTTTGCTACATAAAAGTATTTTAGCACTGAATGGTGGGTCTCATGATGACATGTAAACCGTAAGGTCACAGGTCAGGACACACGGCTGAGATGACATCCAGGTTCCAGTTGGGGGTGAGCGAAACACAACATCTCACATGTGGATATTTCTCTACCTCCCCTTCTTCCTCCTGCCACTTCCTCTATACAATAGATAGATAGATGAAAGATAGATAGATAGATAGAGAGAGAGAGAGAGAGAGAGAGAGAGAGAGAGAGAGAGAGAGATAGAGAGAGAGAGAGAGATAGATAGATAGATAGATAGATAGATAGATAGATAGATAGATAGATAGATAGATAGAAATCCCCTGGTGCTCCTGAGTTCCCCTGGTGTCCTGAGCACCCCCTGGATCCCAGCCCCCGCTTCCCTCAAGGGAGGTTTGTGCCTGGGCTCACACTGACCTCCCAGTTGACTTCAAGTCCCTTGGCCACACCCTGTCACTGTTGCATTGTCTCCTCAGCTGCCCCACCCAGGGTAGGTTTTCTCACTGTCTCCTTAGCAATGATTGGCCAGGGCAGGTGGTTGGGCCTTGGCTTCTCTGAGGATCCGCCCTTTCTCCATTCCCACTGACAGTTGTCCCCAAGAGGGGACATGAGGCTGGCAGAGGAATCGGTCACTCTGAGGATGCCCTTCTTGCCCCTTGGGCTCTGGGTGGCACAGGTCTTGTCCAGCATTCTCAAGGCTGTCCTTTATTGAGCTCCATCTCCTCCAAGGTAGTTAGATGATAAAGGAGCTGCTCCATGACAAAGGCCTTCAGACACCAGGCTGGCTCTCCTACAGCCCGAGTTTTGTGGGCCAGAGACACGTCATCCACAAGTAGAGCAGGGTACTGTTTTGGCCACAATATCTCGTGATGATGTCTCAGGCTGACCAGGGAGACTTGCAGGTGGATGACCCCTTTGTTCCTCTCAACTGTTACTACCTCAGCTCCTCAAAGATGTTCTTCTCTTCGTGGTCACCATGGACACCTATAGGGCTCTGAAATGTATGCTGATGGTGGATGACCTGACCTATGATATCCAGACCCTAAGGATTCCAGAAGTTTGGACATGTGGATTCTCAGATAGTGACTGACACCACCTAACAGGACCCATGTATACATGGGGCAGAAAAAAAAAACCAGAGGCCTCCCCTGTTTTCTCAAGTGAATGCCAGTGAAGCCTCCAGGCTCAGCAATTACATCTATACAAGTCACCCAGGAAATATGAGAGGATGTCTCATGAGTTCCTCCTCTGTACAACAGTGTGTCACTATGTGCCCAAATCCTGGTAAGTCTGGGTAGGTTATTTGAGTCCATGTTCCAAAGTCTTGCTCTAAGGCACTACATCAATCCGTGTCCTAATAAGGTGTAATGTGAGGGGTCCAAACAATGTGGGCAACTAAGTGGTGCTAGGAAGCATCTAGCCCACAGCCAAGGAGTCAGATCTTTATACAGTTCATGATATGAGGTAATTCCTTGCATTCCTTGCAGCCCAGCCCTCCTGTCTCCCACAGGGAAGATTTCTGGACTCACATTGACTCCCCCTGAGTTTCTCTCACAAAGTAATGCACGACTCTGTCCTTGGCTCCCAGGCTGTCCATTCACAGGGACAGCACGTGTTTGCCATTGGCCCTGGAGAAGTTAAATTGCCCCTCAGAGAGTTGGCATATCGTGTGGTACTTCCATCCCCATTAATGTCTGAGCTTCACTCCAGCCCCTTCCCTGGAGCCTGGCAGTCTCAGTGCACATGGGGCCACTGAAGGTGCATGCAGAGGCTGGGCTGGAGAGTCTCAGAGATGTCCCAGTTTGAAGTGTCTCCCATACTCCACCAACTGCACCTCATACTGGAAACCTCAAACACAAAGACATCCTTGTCAATAAACTGTCCCCTGTCCACTATTTCTCCCAGACATATCCACTCAGATACTCAGTGTTTCTCATTCTCCATAAATTACCTGTTAAAATAGCTACAGGGAATACCCAGCAGAGGCCATGTTCCATGGTGAGTGGTCTGTTTCCTGTCCTCAACATGGACTGGGGACACCCTGATACCCCGGGCTGGGTTCCTGTCCCAGAGCTGCAGGGTTGGGGCTTGTCTGCTTTACCTCAGTAGAGGAACCCTATCTCCATGTCCTCCTACTATATAGGGAGCTGTAGCACTGGCTAAATAAATGATGACAAAGCCTCAATGTATGACTCTCCAAGGATATATGTCTGTTAAGAATTAAGCCTCAGTCTTGGACAGTTTGGCTCAGTAGGTTGCATGACGTTCTCGTACTGAAGATTGTGTATTTGATCCTAGATCTGAAAACATATGATCCACTGTCTAGGTCTGAATGGGAGGCAATCTCTCTCTCTCTCTCTCTCTCTCTCTCTCTCTCTCTCTCTCACCCGTCTTTGTTTCTATCTCTTCCTTTCCCTCTGATAATATGAAAAAAAAAGACTTATATTGAACATATGAAAGTAATAATATAAAAATAAAATAATTACTTCCTACATATGCTTCTATTCTGTCCTCAGTGACCCAACTGCTCCAGGAGACTTTGTCATCCTTGGTTAACTTAGAGATCTTGATATCCAATGATTTCCCAGGGCCATCTGTAAGTCTGATTATGATAAGTGCTTCTTTAAGGGGAGGTAGAGGGAGATGCAGCTCCAGGAGAAGAAAGAAGAGAAGTGACCATTGATGCCAGGTGACCTGTTCTAAGCTGTGGGTAAAGCGAAAGAGGTCACAGGACAAGGAAACTGGTTCTAGATGCAGAAGAATCCCATCAGACTCTCCATGTGAGACTCTTCAAGCTGCTATAAATGTGTGCCATGGACTGCGAAGCAAATGAACAATGGCTTTTATGTCCCACAGGCATGTAGGCTGGAAGTCCACAGTCCAGAAGCCAGCATAACAAGAAATAAAATGGTATATACCTCTGACTTACACATCAAATAGATTTACAATGTGGTGTACAAAACCACTCATTAAAATAACTCATATTCTATGTTTCTTTGTGAGCATATTTCAAGCACCAGCATTCTTCATCTTGCTTGTACAAGATATAACCTTGACCACACCTTTGGGTGATGTTTATTGTCCAGTGACAAGAATTTGTCTGCCACCAAACACCTCTAAAGCACTCTAAGTATACAGCCATGTTAGGACCAGCAATGACACTGCCTGAACATCCTCAGCCTCCCTCCTGATCTCTCTGTCCTCCTTGTTTCTCTCCCTCCTTTTACACCCTTCTGCCTGCAATGAAATTTTGAGAAGGGCTTTGATACAAAACCTGCCTTTTGTTATAGTTTTTGTAAAATAGAAAGAACAGTATGTCCCACCCAGTAAGGCCCTGGGATGCCCTGGCTGATGTTCCAACTGCTTGTGACAGGCTGGCCCCAAAGCAAGGGTTGCAGAAATGTACGGATTGCACAGTGTTACCCAGGAACTGTCTAGTTCTGTTTATGATAATGACTCCCTGTTGTCCCTCTCCATCAGCTGCCTTTAAATAATTTGCTAAAAAAGGAAATGAGTTTCATGGGAGTTGAAGCACCTGAAAGTGGGCAAAGGCCCTCGTGTGCCAGAGTGTGAGCCCCAAGAACCACCACTTGTGTTCTTTTTAGCATGAGTTGACTACACAGGACTCAATGTGTCACATGACAGTAGGCATGAGTCAAAGAGATTTAAGAAAAATGCCAGTTCTAAGGTGGGATTTGCAGGGTACATATGGTGTTTTCAATTATTGATTCCTGGATTATGATTGAAAGCACACGTCTTTTCTGTTTGGGAGATCTCTGTGAGCTACAGTCTGTGTAATGCCCAACTTTAGCCCCAGGTGTTCTCTGTCTGTTTTATTATCTTGTAAGGGCTTGGATTATACTTTGTTCTTTTGTTCACCAAGAGATTCCTGTCTCTGTGTGATCTGGGTGTGGTGCCATTTAAAAATTTTGAAGAACATTCATGCTAATATATCTTCTCAGTGTCTCCTGTCCAGAAGCCAAAATTTAGCCCTGTCTTCAGGATGCTCCCTTGGGAACACCATGCACTTACACAAATCAGGACAAACAGAATTGTCCTTAGTAAACCCCAGTGACTTGGCAGGGAGCCCTAGGTCAGAGCACTGTACAGCCACCAGGGAGCCCCTTTGCTGGACCTGCCAGATACACTGGTTCACTCATATCTCTGAGTTCAGAAGCTCTTGGTGGCTTTCAGAGCCCTGATGTCCACAGGATATCTGCTTGCAGGTTCCATGTAAGTATCCCTTGAGCATAGCCCTAATGCCAATGTACTTCTACTGTTCAATAAATTGCATATACACAAACACTGTGATAAGTTTCATGGCAGTGACCCAAGTATCCACTTCTCCCCAGTTCCTAACACTTGGGCAGGATCTCGACTCCCATCTGCACAAATGAAGGATCTATTATGAAGACGGAAAGAAAGCCAAGAAGATTGATGTGAAAGCTGGTGAGTGCCCACCCTTGTGGTTTCCTGTTTCCCTGGCACCTGAAATCAGCAGAGGCCATGATGAGAAGATCTTGGATTGTCCTGGGGAGATTCAGACACAGCATCAATTTGTCCACTCAGTGTATCCAATACTGATGTGATTTTGGGGTGGAGGATTTCTCCAACCTACAGCATTCAGGTCCCTCTTCTCAGAGTGCACTGCCTGTAGCCTCGAGGGTAGTGGCAAAGAAGACACTGGACCAGTGTCTCCCCGGAAGCAGGAGCAGATGCTGATGCAGGAATAGTGAGTCAGAAAGTTGGTCCTGACTTGTCAGAGACTATGGGCCAGTGTCAGTTTTCCAGTTTCCTCTGATGTTCTGAGCGCCACCTGCAGTCCAGCCTCTCTGTTTCCCACAGGGAGGTTTGTGTCTGGGCTCTTGCTGACTTCCCCTCACTGTGTCTCTTGCACAGTAATACACAGCTGAGTCCTCGGTGCTCAAGGAGCTCAGCTGCAGGGAGAACTGGTTCTTGGATGTGTCTCTGGAGATGGAGGCTCGGCTCTTGAGGGATGGGCTGTAGGAAGTACTTCCACCACCAGTTATGTACCCAATATATTCCAGCCCCTTCGCTGGGGACTGGCGGATCCAGATCCAGCCATAACTACTAGTTGTGATAGAGAATCCAGAGACAGTGCAGGTGAGGGAGAGGGTCTGCGAGGGCTTCACCATTCCTGGGCCCGACTCCTGCAGCTGCACCTGGGACCTGACACCTGGGGAGAAAGAACATCAGTCCCAGTCAGTCACGTGCAGTCACCACCATCTCATAGACCCATGTCTGACTTCTGAGACACTCACCCTGGTGGGCTGTCAGCAGGCACAGGAGGAGACCCAGCAGCCTCATGTTCTACACACAGGTCTGCCTTCCCCAGAGACTCAGCCCTCTGTGAGGAGAGTGCTGTGAGCCCCCACAGCTCAGGAAATGTTTTAACCTGGAGCAGAGAGGGAAATTTGCATACAGTAGGCTCGTCTCATAAGTGAGGGGAGAGTGAGGCCACTGTCCTTCTGTGCCCTGAGCACGTTTCCCCTCTTGGACCCGATGACAAAAGTCAGGTCTGGGAGAGTATTTGGCTGTGAGTCATCTTTGAATCATGCCAATGGACAGCCATTCTTTCTTTGTTTAACATTAAAGCTGAACTGCGTGAGGGATCACATTATTTCATTTTCATAGATTATTCAAGTGGATATTAAAACAGATTAAAATTAGGGCCAAACAACTTCCCAAGTCCAAAGTAATACATGAAGTAGACACATCCTTGTCACATTCGATAATCATAATTTCATATAAAGAGAACATGATTTAAATTTTCATGTAAAAATATTGCAAAATAAAGAACCATCTTTCCCTTTCCCTGGCTGAGACCCCTGTGCCTGCAGCTGGTGGTGCAGGTGCAGCCTCTGTCTCAGTCCGGCTCCAGAGAATGGGCTACACAGGTTAGGACCTTCTGCAGAGAGTCCACCATAGATCCTGAAGCTGACACAGGTGTTACACAGACTGGGCCCTTTCATCTCACTTCCTCCCAGGCAGAGCAGCCCCTTCCCACAGGTGAGCTGCTCAGGAGGCCTCCCAGGCTCCTAGACTACATGGGCCAATGTGTCCTGGAGTCACGTTTCTCCAGGGCAGCATGGGCACTGACTCTGTGCCAAGCCATGTCCTGAAACATGTGAGGAGTATGGGCCCTGCTTCCTGGTCACAGAGGGTCAGTTTGGAACCTGCCATCACTGTGTTCACCTGAGAGCCTGGGGGTGTATCTGGGGCCTGATGTCCCGGGAAGGGGACAGGGAGCTCTTGAAGGACAAGGTGAGGGAAACCAAAGTACAAAGTAGGTGTATCTTTCATTCAGTCACTAAACTAAAGAGGAACACAAGATGGGATAAAACAGCCTGATAAAGGCTTAAAACCAGGTTCCCTTACCCGAGTCTCAAACACCCTCTATCTACAGAAAGTCGCCACTGCAGTGCCCATCATCTAATAGTGCAGAGCAAGGACTGGGGCTCATAGGACAGACTGAGGGCATCTAAGGACCTGCTGAGAGGATACCTCAGGCGACAAATGTCTTGGGAGATCCCCCCATTGCTTACAGGAATGGTGGGTTGGTACAGCCACATGGGACCAAAGTGACATCTGTGGTGGGGATGACACTGTTGTCCTGCAGGGGCTAGGGGGCCCATCAGCAGTGCTGGGTCCCATCTGTTGTGACCAGCATGAGGGAATGGGAGGTGAGAGCCAAGGGAGAGATGCTGTGAGAACATATCCTCCAGCGAGCACCATGCCTGTGCCCCAGTGTACACTTGTGCTCTGTAACCAGCTCCTGTCTCCTCCCCAACATGGGGGAGAACTGAGTCCCTGTTTAGGGCCTTGAAAAGCCCAGAGTGTCCTCACCTTCCCCAGAGGGCCCTCAGAGTGAACAAGTCCTCACCTCCTCACCTTTGCCTGCGATGCTGCCGAGAGGTCCATTTCAGGTGGGTGCCTGGGTGTCTCCGTGTCCCAATTTTCCAGGAGCTTTAGATACTGAGGCCTGAATAAGTGGACCCTGTTGAGGATCTTGTCATTTTCTTCACTCCCATGCTAGGTTAGCTGCTCAGAGGATGCTTCAAAGTCAATATTTATGGAGACAAGGTGTTTCCTGAGAAGGTTGGGCCCATTATGTGTGACATGGTCTTGTGTGTGTGTCCTGGACAGTTGTGTGTCCCCACAACTCATCCTGGTGACTCCATATATTAGAGAATGTAGGGCCCTAGTGATATGCCACACACATCGCATCTCTCTCAAAGAAGTTCCGGGTCCTTCTCATGCCCTGCACCCTCTCAGGATGTGACTAACCCACTTTCCTTGATCCCACATCTCCACCACACTCACTGGTCTCAGTACAGGGATCCCTGTACCCCAGAGTCCTGGAACAGGTTTCCCCTCTTCCTAGATTCTATTTTCCTGGAAATACATATAGAACAGTCCCACCACTTCTGAGAGTTTTGCCCCAAATTTTTGGCAGGCTAATCTATTTTAAATGCACAGAATGACATTAAACATGTCCAAAAGTTTGTGTAATCTTTCACCTTCCAAGTCCAGAATTCCTCTTTCCCACACTGACTCCGTGTCCTTTAAATAACAACTCCCCATCTCCTGTCTCCCAGCCCAGTTACCCTTTCTGTACTCTGCCTCCACGCTCTGGATCCTTCATCTCTCACAGACCTAGAAGCACACAGCCACTGTGGTGCTGAGAGTGGCCTCTTCCCCATGTATTGTGTCTCCAAGGCTCATCTGTGTTTTTGCATCTGCCCAGGTTCTCTTCTTTTGAATGGGGATGATGTTTCGTTGTGACGTTGGAGCACATCTTGCTATTGAGTTTCCAATAGTTGCTTGGAAACTAGAAATTTTGTGAATACCTAATCAGAGAGGAGGAGCCACGGTACAGGGGAGGAAGGCAACACATTTAGGTAAAAGAAGTCAACACAAATCACCTGAAATGGGCAAGAAGCACCTGTGACCAGAGGCTGTCCTGAAATAGGAAAAACAGTAATAATTTCCACAGTGAGCTCGAGGTCCTATGTCATGGTCTCCCATCCATCCTGGAAGCAACACGATGAGGACAAAGGGGAGGGAGAGACACAGTTTGTGTGACACAGGTTGCCTTTGTTGTCAGTGTGGTTCTTTGCCAAGGTGGGAAAATGTCACACAGGAGTGCCATGAAGGAAAGGACCCAGGCACAGGGTGGTCTTTCATCAGCAAACAGACAATATCTGTTCTCCCTTTGCTGTTTGCACTGAGAATGTAGGGAATGAGAGTCACCAAGAAGAAAATATTGTCCCTGTATGCAGCTGAGAGCTTTAAGAGGAAACTCTGCTCCCAAGAGGAAGCCTCTTCTTTCCTCCCCCCAGACCCACACCTGCTCTTTGGGGGAGGCCTCTGTGCTGCAGGGATGCCAAGAGGTCCCCCTGTGTCCTGAGTGCCTCCTGTCTCCCCCAGGGAAGTGTCACTGGGCTCAGGCTGACTTCCCCTCAGTGTCTCTCACACAGTCATACAGGGCTGTGTCCTTGAGAACTTATGTATCTGTCATCTGGGTGTTGTGCCTTTTATGACTTGTGAAGTTCTTTCTTGCTAATGACCCAGCTTCTTCTTTTAGAGGATGTAATTTGAGCGTCCTCATTCATTTGAGGTTTGTCTTCATTTTAGATGTTCTGTTTCTGTTTGGAAATACGCAGCTGGATCTCAGGCCCATCAGAGAGGACATTAAGCCACATTTTAGCCTACTGGTCATCTCATAGCAGGAAGGAAAGAACTAATACGAATGTGCCCTGACTGAGAAGACAGTGACGGGTACATACACTATACATTTGGTGTAAGCATCCATGTTGTTACATCATCAGATTCTACTCAGAAAGGATTTAAACTGAAGGTCCAGAGGGCAGAGGAAGGTTTCCTCCCCTCTCAGACTGTCAGCTCGGAGAGAAGAACCATGAGATAAGTTTTTCGAACACTCTGAACCTTCCCCTGGAGGGTGGGAGCTGTGCTGGTCCTGGGAACTGTGGGAAAACTAGTGCAACCCCCACACTCTGTGCGGGTGCAGAAATAGCAGGGGTGACAGCCTCTTTCCCTGTGAAGAAGATAAAAGACCCCTTTTAGCCAAGCTGCTCTGCACCCAGGCCTGAGGTCTCCCCTGCTCTCCTCCAGCCACCGTGATGTTGTCAAGGACACAGGAGAAGAAGGAGGTCTTGTCTTCAGTACCATTATTATTCATATTGTCAGTACATATGGAAAAAGAAAGAACTATCAAAATATTATTTTTCAGGATCATGTGTGTAAAAATGATATTGAATCTGGTTAAATATAATCGATTTCTTATAAAGTTATTAGCATAAATATGTGTTATGCCTGAGTTTGCAGGAATAAATTCATGTTATTTATGTGTTTGAGAATTTGTTAAGAAAATCGCTTGGGTTAATAATTGACTTTAAATTGTCATGAAGTTTTAAGAACTAATAAATAGATGAAACTAAACTAAAATTTTCTGATACAGTTTTTCAGAAATATATATATTCCTGATATATTACATTTATATGACTTAAACATATATAAACACAGTTTTCCAAAGTTCAGCATCTTGGAACTTTGAGGTTTTGCTAGATTAAAAGGTGAAAATCATTAAATATATAGATATTTTGAGGTAACCTGATACTAAAATACCAATTGATAAGAATGTGCCTACTTTAGCTTTTTAAGGCAGAGAACCTAGAAAGTGGATTTGTATTGCTTACTTAGTACATCTTGTACTTTATTGGAAATACATATCCTGAAAATTTAAATGATTGTCAATGGAAAAAAAAAAAAAGGCTTGTTTCTAAAATTCATGAAGTGTTCATAAAAATATCAGTCTGAAGAATCTTAATTACTTACATTAAATTGTCATAAAAATCAAGATTTCTAAGAATTGAGAATTCTAATTAATTTGGAGAGCAATTGTATGGTTTCACAATAGAAGTATAAGGTATGAAAACCCTTGTTGAAGAAAAATAAAATATTTTTCTATTTAAAATTCACTCATTTCTGATTAAGTTTTTAAAGGCCAACTAAAAGAGTCTATGTATATTGCAGAAAGACTGTATACATCACAGTGAGGTTATTCAAATGAAAGTTCGTAGAATGCAATCTTGAGAGGAAATTACACAGTTAACTTGAATTATGAATTAAACTGAATAAAGAATCTAAATACCAAAAGTAATGTAAAACAGATTTTCTTTGTTTTATCTTCAGTCAGTTGAAAGGGGAAAAGTTTTCCCCTTTGCAAAGAAAGAAAAAGAGAGTATATTTTTAAAAGTAGTTATGTGTTATGTTAATCAGGTACTTGATTACTTAAAAACCCATGTTCTTTATT